TGATATTTACAACCAGAACAGTCTTTCTTTATCTGTAATTCTCTAGCCCTTTGCAATTTACCAGTAACTTCCATGTATTCTTCGCCAGATTGCCTTCTTCTTTTCCTGATGTTTTGTTTCCACAATTTTGGATTTTTCAACTTTTTGCGACCCTGTCTGACATTGTTATTACACTCGTTATTGTGATCACTGTTTCCAATTTCTTGATTGTTAACACGTTTTCTTATTTTTTGACTTTCAATATCCGTTTCATTTATCTGCATGCCATTTTCATTGATCTTTTCTGCTTCGCTAATGATATCATTATTTAGTTGGCCGTTAAAATCTTGTAATGTACAATCCAGATCTGGTGACTTTTCAATTAGCTCATGATTGTTTAAATAATTATCATTTGTATCTAATTTGCTAAAATTATTTTCATCGTCAACATGCTGATCCAAAACGTAAATTTCAATAAGCACATTTCCTTCATCTTTTTCAATATCTTGCTGTGCGACATTTTCTGATTCAGTGTCCAAATTCGAACAGTTCATAGAATTTTCAGTGTTAACTAGATGTTTACCTTTGTTTGAGTCAGCATTTTGTTTGTCGTCAGAATTTACATTTTCATCAGCTGTGTCCAAAAAACTGTTGAATTTATCTTCAAACTCATTTGCTGAAATATTATCATCTGTTAAAATTGCTACAGCTTCTTCTACAGTATATTTACTGCGATTCATTTTTATACAAGTGAAAATTACAATTTCTATAAATATCTATGAATTCCCTCTTAAATTGTGCCCTTATTTCACTAGACTCATCTCGAAGTGATAGATGAAAGAACAAAAGTGATTTGCTGGTCTCCATTACAGCTGAGCATTGTTCCAAAGAGAACTGCACCCCACAAGCATCAAGCACTATCAACTGGTTTTGTTCTAATATCTTGATAATAGTGTTAGGGGAAATTCTCGTAAACGATACATACAGTTGATCAATCTTGTTGCAATATCGGATAGCTAAAAAGTCTTCATCTACTAGTTTTTTTCAACCATCAACAGAAAGTATTTGTAAATTGAGGCACTGTTTCAAAAAACACAATGTAGATATTGGACATTGACTGATATTAAGCCAGTACAACTTGTTCCCTTGAAAGTGTTTTGAAAATAAAAAGTCAATGTCTGGAGCAAGATAGCTGTAGCCGCTTGCGGGAATAATAAAACTTTCAAATTTTCTGGAATGCTGAAAAATTCTTTCCAGAGTTCCCTTATAAAACTGCACAGGATTGTCAAATTCAAATTCTCGCCACAGGTATGATGTAGTAGTAATTATGTTATTGAATGCTTTACACGTCCTGTTTGTGTTTGTTAAAAGTTCTTCTAAACGTAGGTATGACAAAATTCTGGCAATTACTTCAGTCGGCAGTGTAAACAGGTTTGCTTGAAGAGACCTGAAAGAAGGAAGATTTATTATTTTATATTCAAACAGTTATGTGCAAATGGCGATCATGTACGAAACATAACAAGCGTTATGTCATATACATTCAGATATTCGAAAATGTATAACAATGCGAACAAAGATATTGAAAGGAATTAAGTTTCTTCCTATTGACTTTGGTATAAAAATGTTTTGCTTTAAGTTATCTATTATTTAGTAAAATAGTGCACTCAAAAAATACATACATGTATAATGTGTATAAATTTCTTTATTTAAGAAAGTTCAAAACTTGTTGTATCACCCCATTTCTTGTTTACAAATATTTGGATGAAATCGTATGATCACATGTGTTTCTATCCGAAAACAAAACACGTCCGAAATCATTTGAAAGCGTGATTAGTTTTAAGTAGTGTTTAAATATTTGCAGTTAATGTAAAATAATTGTCACTGATTGGAGTTTATCAATAAAAACATGATATTAATCAATACTTACATTTAGTATATATATAGGAAATCAACAGCAAACGTTGCAAAACCAGTATACTCAAAATATTTGTACAATATGGCGGGCGTCCTGCCATCACGTGATTTAAATGCTATGCCCTGATTCGATATCTTGGATTTAGAACACTGTGTTTTTAAAATAAAATACGGTCAAATACACTTAGAACAGTCTGTTGCATATGCCTCACAGGTCATGTGACATGTATCGATGATATGTATGGTCAAATAAGTTAGAACAGTCTATCTTGCAAAACGCACTGAATTTGTGGAGATAGAACAGAATGGTTTTGTTGTAATTTATCTATGAAGCTTTGTTACACAAATATAACATGCCAAGGAGATAGAACATCCCATTACGGACCAAACTGTGTATTTAACTTTTTTTTTGAAAATTTGGAGATAGAACATTACAGTTTTCAAGCGACGAAATGGCACAGTTGGTATGGTAGATGTGGACGGAATAGTATCTTTAATATGTGGGGGCTTAGTCTTGGGTATAAGCATATATCTGTCCTCAATGAATTTCAAAATTTCCTCAATATCTGGCTGAGGAGAAGTGCTATCCAAGCTAGATTTATTTCCTTCTTCAGACATGTTATTGAATTGAATCCACTTTTTTTAGTATCAGTAGACTATAAAGTATCTTAAAATATACAGCACTATGCTATCAAATAGTAATCACAGCTTTATGTAATTACAGCTATGTACTAATATCAATATAACACTCTGCTATAATGAACTCATGTATATATGGGTCAATATTGGATAATATAGGGCAAACTTCAAAATAAAAAAAATCAATATATTTAAAACACAAAAAAAATAATTGTTTTTTTTTTACACTATTTTGGTATTCAAACTATTTCCTGTTATTATTACACCCTTTTTTATTTTTAAACCTTAATTTCCAACTTTTATATCAATCATACTCCAAATATTGTCACATCAAAATAAAGAATTGTCTTAGAACTAGATCAACATAGCGTGGGAAAATATTTGTAACATACGTCATTTTTTTTCTACAAACTAGGTCAATTGATCTATTCAATACCTGTATCTATAGTCCGTTTTACACAAACGGTCAATCAAAAACACGATCAAATAAACCGACTCCGACAAAAAATAAAACCAAACACGATATTTTTCTCGGTTACCATTTCAATCTTTTCATTCATACCGTGAGTGCATTTATTGTATTAGTATGGAAGTGGTTTGGGAGAGAGTTTGGGAAAAATTGGACACGGACTAAGTACATCTAATACAAATCATTGGTTACTGTTGACCACCAGAACAAATCAACTTTGCTTAAATTCTATGCTAAACGGTTTCTAAACCATGATATGTACACAAACACAAAATTCAACACAAACATCTATATGTACAGACAATATTTGTTACAACTGTATAAAAAAATACTTCTTACTTACGCAACATATTCACTCAAAAATATAATGTGTATTCTATTGTAAACGAACCTAACTTTCTGTTTGTCAATTTAAAACAATAAAACTTTACTGTTAAATGATATATGTAAGTTTATCAAATGATAAAAAAGAAATAGCAAAAATTTAATATAGATGTCAAGAAAACAAGCAAACAAAAATATTCGTAGGAAAGAAAAATCTTCTTATATCAAAAATTTACATGTACTGTACTGAAACGAATAATGCCTAACTGAAGATAGCCTAACTTTGACGTCAATAAACTGTACAGTACACAAGTAGATTATAATACAGTTTCAAAATTTAACTACCGAAGTGACCAAAATAATTATATAGAAAGAGTACTTACATTACATCCTTAATCCAATAAAATATACACACTTTTCACTATAAACACATACATGTACAAATACACAAAATAAAGTTCACACACACACACACACACTAAAGTTCCTGCACGTGCATAGTTGAATATGTCGTCCTCCGCGATGAAAATAGTTCCACGGCGATCCTTTCTTGATTACATAGGGCTAGAAAACGTAAGTTTTCTACAGTTTATAGAATTTTGGGCTTTATAAAATGGAACATTATAATGGGTAAAGAGCTCTTTAAAAGGGGACAGGGGGAATATACCATTATGATGCGTAGAGTTGTACCGGTACGTGCCAACGTCACAACATCCGTCTATCTCCAACTTGAAAAGCTGTTAAGTTTTCTCGGCTGGGGCGTACCTGGAGCGGTTGTGAAAGACTGTCCATCGACCCTAGCTCGTATGTAGTTCATCGTCGGGGAGCCATTTGTAACCGGGGATAAATGATTGAAGACTTGCTTCTATTTCATCATTTTATTGTCGGACATACAAAAACGAGCCAGGATCAGCATACAAGAACTTTCCATAAATGATGTTCAAGTTTACTATAATAAGTAACTACTTTTATCAACAACTATACTGTAAAGTAAGTTATCAGTTACTCGTATAATGTGGAACTGGCGAAGGGAAATATTTTACTTAAGCAAGAAAATGTTTCGCGGGGATTTTAGGGTCATGCACGTGAAATATTAGTGAACACATTCATACAACCTTTCAACTTACAGTGACCTCTCATACGAAACAGACTATACAAAACATTACCACAGTTAGGCGAATACCAACCAAATACAACATAACACGGAGGATACAATATACCAGTGATAAACAGAAAACGATACACAGGTTACACACGAATGCAGAAAGTGAGACTCTTTACGAGAAGCAACTGTTAGGCGGAAGTAAGTTCCTCGGCTATTCATATTTTTCATTTATTTATTTGCATCTAGTCTACAGTATATAATATTCAACATGAAATACAGTTGTACATGAGTAACATAAAACCGTCACATTTTTATTTTAACTCAACAATGTTTTTATTTACTTTAAGCATTGTTAATTCCTGGGTAAAAAATTTACATGTATGTTTGACAGATATTTGTTTACATGTTTCTTAGTAACCGTAAAGGGCGACAACTTTGACAAGTGAGTAGGTCTAAACGCCGTAATTTACTACGGACTCGGTAAAGAATAGTTAAGTCCTATAAAAAGAATTGTATAATAATTTACATACCTGACTAATGAATTTAAAAAGATCATGTAGAATGAATATTTGAAGTTATTTTAATTTTATTACTGATTTCAGGTAACCCAAAAGCTCTTATTTCAACTATCTGGTTGAATAACACAATGCATCTAGGCTTGCGAGGAAGACAGGAACATGTTACCATGTTATGGGGTGACCTTGAGTTGCGAAAGACGAATGGCACAGATGGGCGGCAATATCTTGAATTTACAGAGAGGGCAACCAAGACCAGGAAAGGTCTAAATGATGAGCCAAGAATGTTTAAACCTAAACTATGGGAAGAAAAAGGTAAGCCATATCTAGTAATTATTTTTTTTTATAAAGGCAAACTTATTATAGATATATTTTCAAAAAAGTTTTAATTTTAGATAAGAGTAAGTTTTCTTATACCAATTATAACAAACGTGACATATATTTGATAAAATTATTAATTTAGAAACTAACTGTGTTGAAAAATGTAAATAAATGAAATCAAACTGAAATAATAATGTTGTTTTTTACAGATGATCCTCATTGTCCCGTGAAAATGTACCTGCTTTATAAGGAAAACAGACCAACAGTTGACCCAGAGAGTAGGTTCTACTTGCAAGTTAATAGATACTGGCAAACAAAGGGCAATTGGTTTAACACTTGTCCTATGGGAAAAGATTCCCTCGGTACAATTGCCAAAGCTCTAAGTGAAAGTGCCGATTTCAGTGGAAAACACACAAACCATTCTGGAAGAAAGACATTCATTTCCAATCTTTTAGATAAAGGTGTCCCTCCAAGAGAGGTTGCTCAAATTTCTGGTCATAAAAATTTGCAGTCACTTAACCATTACCATTCCCTAAGCATTGAACGCCAACAGGAACTGTCGGAGATATTACATGCACCGCAAAAGAAAGACACACCTGGGACAAGTGAAACAAACTTCAGAACTGATGAAATAGACGACAGTGAACTAGTTAACTAGTTTCCCAGGAAGTTGAAAAAACACTTCAAAGTATTGAAGTATATGAAGAAGTTCAAGCAACACCAAGGTTGAATGTAGGCGTTTCTCAGAGTCCAGGCAGCACTTTTACCATGGCTCACTTTAGGAATCAACCACAGTCCATGTTCAGTGGTTGTACTTTCAATCAGCCTGTCAATATCATTTTTAAGCTAATCTTTCAAATGAACAATTTACTGATATGAGATCAGTTTTTTTTTGTATCCACAGATATAGTGTTTAAGGTTGAGTAATTTGTCAGCGCATCCATTGACAAAAAAAGAAACATTATTTACATTTGCAATATTTCTTTTTCCCGAGATTTTGTTGGCAGATATACAAATAAATGCGTAAATGAAATAAAAGGTGTAAATGAAATAAAGTTTAAATTTTATTTGAGTCGTTTTATTATTTTTTACTATTTAATGAACTATACTTATCATATTTTACAAGAATTTAAATGCTAGACACGTATTTTATCTTGTCATCTATTTTTGCCTTCATGGGCAAGTTATTTGCTTACAAGAAAGATATGACCGCATATATAAAAGTTTCTAGCCTTGTAAAATATAGCGGACAATATATATATATTTAGTGAACGAAATTCCGATTTCAAGGACAATACATATATATTAAGTGAACGAAATTCCGATTTCAAGTTTAATAAAAAAAAAAATATATATATATAATAACATAGGTATTAAAGACGTTAATACTTGGTTGCTGCTCGCCATTATGCGATAATGGCCCTCGAGTCCATAATGTCCTTCGGGCCTTCGGCCCTCAGGCCATTATGGACATCTTCGGGCCATTATCGCATGTTGGCGAGCAGCAACCAAGTATTAACCTCTAATTAAAATCATGTTGTAACATATCAACCGTATTATAATTATAAATGTACTTTTAGAAATATTTATTAATACTTGTTGCTACAAAAGTCGTTTTTGTTGCTGTTTATCAGAAGGTGTTTTTCTTATATGTAAATGTGTTGCAAGAATCGTTTTTGTTTGACCAAGGTGAATATGTAAATACGCATAGACAAAAAACATAGACCCATACTTGCTCAATTTAAAGTGTGACTCCAGAATGAAGATAAATAAGATTACATGTTTAATAGATGATAATATATAAACATAAATTTCTCAGAATTGAATGATTTACAGCTTATGAATCTTATTAATTTTCATTTTCTTTTGTTACTCATCATATGAATTTAAAAAACATTCCCCTTTCTTTCTAACACATGACTAAAGCACAAACACTCAAACAAGCTTATCAGAAACTCGGTATTTATGTGACCATTTAACATCACAGCAAGGTACTGTGATTTTAAACCTAAAACAATACATTTTGTAATAAAAGGGGTTACAGAAACACTGTCTTTGCTAACAACTCTCTACGGTTGTCCGACTGGCCGCGCATATACCTGTTGGTTTTTTTTTTTTGAAATTATAAAAAACGAGGTAATATTTTGCAAATGTATTAGTAAGAAAAAAAAAGATTTTTGAACTTAACAAACATTTTAATTATTCTACCTGAAAACAGAGTTGGGTTCGACGCCGCCGGAATATTACGTTAAACGGACCATTGCTCCATTTGATACAGCAAGATTTGTAATTTATCATTTTTATTACAGGAATATAGCTTAATAGTACTTATTAATTGTGTGTTTATTAAGAAAATCTAGCATATACATACATTGTAAATTGTTTTGTCTGTAGTAGACGACGAAGGTTTAATGTCGATTAATATCATCAGGTCTTGTAATTCAAAACCTAAAACCTATAAATCAAAATATGCGCAAAATAATTGATTTCAATATTTGAATTTAACTTTATAATTTTAACCTATTCATTTCCCCATCTAAAGTGTTGACCAGATGCTGACAAGATGTAAAAACATTTTTTAAATATTATTTTTCATATTCGATAAACTTTACCTAGTGAGATTATATAATACAGATATTCAACTGCATGTTATATTTTAAAACCTTGATGAATTTAGTGATGAGAATTATTGTCATGTATTATTCAACAAAAGCAAAAAGTCAAAGATCATATTTTCATAATTTGATATAGTAATATTATTTGCTTATTTATATGTTTACAAAATCTCATGAAACATGTTAAACATATTAACCATTCAGTTGTTTCATTTTTGATCTCACCCTAACGATAAATTTATTTGTCTATTTGTGGTTTGTGAGAAGCAGAAGTAAAAGAAATTTACATAACTAGCTGTAAACTATTTCTACAACTACATTATATTCTGAATTGCATAGTTTAAAAATAGCGAGGCATTAAAAGCCTTGTTACTAGACCAACGCCTAAAACAATAAAAAAACTTAAGATTTAGCATCGAACGTACTGAATTTGTATTTCCGTAATCTTTAGTTAAAATTCATTTCTAAATTAAACCATTTTGACACAATCTAAACATTTAGGTTTGCGAACAATAAAAAGGCTTCAATATAGCATATAGTTTATATTATTGCCCGCTTTCAACTGATTTCCAAGTCTGTTTAATACTCTAGAGACGTATTATCATTTTGTAGTTAAGCAAATGATAAAAGGAAGATTTTATCTTGTTTTTTTTTACTGAAATTTAAACACAAATGCCATAAATAATGTTATATTTAGCAATTATTCCGTACGTAACAAGGATGCTGCCGTAATTTTCCCTTTATCCGAATATTATTTAAGTGTGAAGCACTCCGAGCTTGCACATTTAATTTATTTTTGTTTTGTTATATGGTTGACCTTTAACGGAAAATTTTTAATCAATAGAAAACAAATTTTTGGTGAAGCTCTGCATTTTTACCCTGTTCGGCAGAAATTTGTAAGTAAGAACATTTTGAACAGCTGTAAACATAGAAGCATTTGAAAGGATACATTATCAATCTGTTCCTGGGTTCTGTGACAGGTGTTAGGATTTTCCGTAGTCGGTGAATATTCTGTGCCAGTTTTTGAAGGGATATGAGTTTGAGGTTAGACAATTCCTTTACAACCTCGGACCGTGATAAATTTTGTCAAATACATGAAAAAAATTCGCGGTTTGTTGGCTTTAAATCTAGTTAATATTAACACAGGTAATTCCTATACCCTAACAGCACTGCACTGAAAATAAAATATTTATTGGTCTGTTGAAACTTTTAAATGTCAATAGAACACTAAAAAGTATCATAAAATTGATAATCTTGTGTAATAAAAATTTTATTTCTAGATTTTAATGTGAAATCGTAATAAAAAACAGTCTGCTAAATATCAACACAATTGACGGTTTTAATTCTTCATCGACCATAAATTACTTCCACAGCGATAAATTACAATCTAAGAGATGTAGAACACAAATAATGTGATTTCAGAGATTTCTTAGTAGCTTGTTTTGTGTAAGTGATATCTAGTTAAACTAGCAGCAAGCTGGCTATCTGTAGGCAACAGTGATAAAATTTTACTGTTATACCTATCTGTTTAACAACATGATGTAGAGGACTAATTGTCCCCCGCCTTTTCGAAGAAATAGGCTCCGTCCGTCTGTCTGTCCGTCCTTCACACTTTCGTGTCCGGTCCATAACTTTGTCATTTATCATAGGAATTTGAAATACCTTGGCACAAATGTTTGTTATAATAAGACGATGTGTCATGCGCAACAACCAGACCCCTACCTCCAGGGTCAAAGTCGCACTTGCTCATTCAAGGTCAATGTTGTCCATTTGAGGGTATATGTCGTGTCCGGTCCATAACTTTCTTATCTATTAAGGGATTTTGTAAATACTTGCCACAATTATTTACAATAATCAGATAATGTGCCATGCGCAAAAACTTGTCACCTACGTCCAAGGTCAAGGTCACACTTGGAGGTCAAAGATTAACATAGTCTGTTAAAGGGTATATTTTGTGTCCGGTCCATAACTTTTTCATAGATCAAATGATTTTAAAAATACTGGGCACAAATAGTCACTATAAGTAGAGGATGTGTCATGCGCAACACCTGCATCCCTTCATCCAAGGTCAAGGTCACATTTACAGGTCAAAAATTAATATAGGCTGTTATAGGGTATATTTTGTGTCCGATCTAGAACTTATTCATAGTTCAATAGATTTTGAAATAACTTGGCAAAAATATTCACAATAATAAGACGATATGTCAAGTAGAAGACCTGCACATCTTCCTCCAAGGTCAATGTCACACTTAGAGGTCAAAGATTTACATAGTCTGTTATAGGGTATATTTTGTGTCTAGTCCATAACTTTTTCATAGATCAAGCGATTTAAAAATACATTGCACAAATAATCACAGTAATAAGACAATATGTCAGGCGCAAAACATGGGTCCCTACATCCAAGGTCACACTTAGAGGTCAACGATTAACATAGTCTGTTATAGGGTATATTTTGTGTCTGATCTATAACTTCTTCATAGTTCAAGGGATTTTGAAAATACTTGGTACAAATAGTTACAATAATAAGATGACATGTCTTGCACAACACCTGCATACCTACCTCCAAGGTCAAGGACACTTAGAGGTCAAAGCTTGATATGATAGATTTTTAAATTCTATGTATCATTTTATTTCTTTAATAAACATATTGTTGCATTTGCAGATCTAGCATTGATCATAATTTTTGAATTTTTGAAAGTCCTGAGATCCATACCTCAATATTTTGAAATAGCACAATTTTATGCTTCATATAAAGACTTCCCCGAGGCGGGGGACTTTGGTAATTTTGTTACAAATTCTTGTGTTTTTCATAAAATGACTAAACTACCAACATAACAACATGCACTTTTGAATTTCTAAAATTGTTCATAAATTTGTTTGAAACGGCTATGGCTGTACTTACTCGTAACTCTCAGAAAAAAAGTTTACCAATTACTCTCTCTCTCTCTCTAATGCTCAAAAGATGTTTATGCCGTTACTTGAACATCATGTCTGACTGGAGCCCAACGATAAGGTCATACAAAACAAGTATCATCATCTGTCAAGGTATGGTATGGTAAGGTATGTACTATTGATAAATCAAAGCCTGATGTTGGAACAAAATGACTTTTACAAATACTTGGATAATTTTTATATAAATCATATAAAAGGGCTAGCATTCTTAATCTATTTTAGAGAAGAGCCTAACACAAAGACACAGAGACAGACAATTATCATGATATTACACAGTTGGCCTAAACACCAATTTTAATACTATGTTTTGATCTGAAGTAAAGCTGAAGTCACACAGTGTAAACTCATTTTATTAGGCATTTATTCAAGAACTAAAAATTGCACACTTTTGTCCATCAATTAGACACTGTTTAGCAATACTTTTTACTTCCGAACGTTTCTTTCTTTCATGTTGTATTTC